TGATGTTAGTTTTTGTTGTTAATTCTTACTTAAAGTTTAATATTTGGTCTTTATAATACAAAATAAACTTTGTAATTTTTTATATAAATTATTAATTCTGTCCAATAATGTGAGGACTTCATTCCAATATTTTTGTACGGGTCAATTAGTCCATGTTAAATAATATATAACTTTTTCGATTAGTTTTAAAAACCTTTTGTTGTTACTGATATTTATGATACTAATTTATAAAGTTATGCATTATTGAAAATTGATCCATTAATCTTTATAAAAAAATATATTAAAAAGTATAAATCATATTCAAATACCAAATACCGAATACCTTAGAGTACCGAATACCTGTAGATTTTTAAAAACACTTGAATATTTTTTTTTATGTTACCTTTTTGTACTGACCCAATCCGTCTTATCAGTGAGATTAAAAAAAATGTAAACAAAAATTTGAGTTCAGAATGAATTCAAAAAAAAAATTAATAAACAATATTATTAATAGCATAAATAGAATTTGACAAAATTACCTTATCAGAGATACAATATAAAAAGCTAAAGCTGTGAGCAAAAATTTGAGGCGTGAAGAAATCGTTTATTCATTTTCAAAAGTTCAATTGCTAATTGACGTTGTGGTGGAAAGGTTCAATTCGATCGTCGTAAAACTGAATAAAATCTATTTAAATTGTTGTTTTTGATTTCTATAAAATTTTAATTGAATTAAATTTTGGAACTTTAATTTATTAAAAAAAAAACTAATTTAATTTATAAAAATGTTTGACCGCGAACATTTGCGAAAAATTCTTAAAATATTTATTGTAGCGTTCTTATGTTGTGATCTTCAAATCAGTAAGTGTAATAATAATTTAAAAATTTTAAGAAAAGTGTATATAAAATATATAATACATAATAAGAGAAGCTCTTGTACAAAAATATGGTATATAATTTATAAAATACTATTTGAGGATTTTAAGTGAAAAGAAAAAAGGGGTGAGGATTTGAAGTGTTGAAGAAATATGAAGTACTTACCTCTGAAAAAAAATCAATTATTCTAACTTCTAGTTCTCATGCTAATTTTAAAAACTATAAATGGAAAATTTAAGTTTATAATAATTTAACCTCAAGATGTTACCTGTACCAAGATGAAGCCATTCTGACACTTCATAAATCCATATTTATACATATAGGAAAGAAATTAACTTAAAAAGAGTCCAAAGGACCCAAATTGTTGCTAATGAGCATAGTTACATTTCTTGAAAGCCATTTTTTAAAAACCCTGAAAACTCACCAGAAATCTTAAAAAATATTTAACCAAAATAAGTTGATTAAAGTGTTGCTCCATATTCAAGAATCTATTTATCACAGAATCAATCATTTAACATATAACATTTGATCTAAATTTCAAAATCACTAGAAAGAAAGTGCAGTACGCGGTGTATGACAAGTTGGATGAGAACTCGGCCTTAAACTTAACCTTATTTTATCAGAATTATTGTACTTGTAACATAAAGAGATATTAAAATCATTAAAGGACTTGCTTATAGGACTATAGATTGTATAAATCTAAATCTCTATAGTATAGAGATTTAGATTTATACAATCTTTAGTTTGAACATTTGTAAAGGTGAAATATACAGCGTTTTTCTGGAGTATTACAGTAAATAATGAAACCATCCCGTTATATCAACTCAAAAAGTGTGTAATAATAATTGCGATATTATAGACTAATTTGGTTTGATTGATAGTTTTACACCATAAAGTTTTATTGTTCAAACTACTGAATTTTAAAAACTAATTAAAATGAAAACTGCAAATATTTTTTAATATTTTAATAATACCTTCTCATATTTTAATAATATGAGTATTTTCTGATATACTCAATTTTGTATTTATTTCAATTTAAAGTAATGTTTACTGGTCTTTAAAAAAACAGTTTATCCATTAAATTTTATTATTAAAAAATTATTCAAAACGTTTTATTTATAAATATATTCAAATATCTTGAATTGAAAAGTAATTTTTTTTATATTGATTTTTTTATATTAATTTTTTTTTTTTTATAAATTTATTATTATATTTTTTATATAAAATTTCGCCACAATTTTGATTAGTATTTATCGCGAGATACGCAGGAAAGTCTTTACTTGCTATAATCAGGGCTCCAACTTAAATATTTTTTTTTGTACCAAAATTGGTTGAAAAAGCGGCCATTTCTGTAAAAATGAGTCCAATTTTTTCTATTAGCTTTTAATACGAAAATACAATATATATAAAATCTTCAGAAAATATAGAACAGTACAAGTCTTTATATCCATAACAATTTTATAATTTAAATAATTGGCCTCCTTTCTGCTGAACGTATATAGTGCATATCTTTTTTATCAAATAGTTCTTTGCATAACATAATATCATTTAAGGTCTTAAAATCCATTCCGGTCGAAATTTTCTTTCACTTTTTGGGGCCATAATATTTTTACTAAATCAATACTTAAAATTTATTAGTTCAATACTTAAAATTTATTAGTTTCATAGTGCACAGTTCAATCTATAAATAAATTTAATTAGATAATATAATAATATGTACAATAAAGTTGCCGCTTTAAAAAAAGTATCATTTTCTAAAAACAAGTACCAGAGTACTATTTAGAAAATAAGTACCTATACTAAAGTACTATTTATATGTGGCAACCGTGAATATAGTGCACCATGCTTACCTTAAATTAATTATATTATATTATATATATAATAACGATTACATGGTAGAAAGAACGACTAAACTTTATCATGCAATTTTATACTCTCCACATATTTGTATAAGTGATTAATCTATCTCTTAAAACTTAGTTCTATCGATCTATATTCTTGGGACGTTGTTAAGCAAACACAGGGAAAAAGTTTGTGCGTTACAAGATATATTTTGATTGTCAATTATTAATACAATTCCTTACTACCTACGATTAGATGTTCTTCTATTTTAAAAGTTCATTGGAACTATATGTCAGCTATAATTATCTGCACGTAGTCAGTTGGAACGTTGGATAATAACTCAATTAAATATATTTTTTAATACAATCAAAAATTTTATAAACTTTTTTTTATTAATATATACACTTAATTACTTATGGGAGCAATAAGTTTTGTATCGGCATCATAGACTACTATAATATCTTTTATAATATTTTACAATAAAAACTGACAAACTACAGCACAATAATACCACTATTTAGGCACTAAATATAAACAATCTATTAAATTTTTAAAATTTATATAAAAAATAATTCTGACTAAGATCGATCATGAAAAATAATCGTTGTGGTGGAGTCTATTCTGTTGTTATTTATAATAAAAATCCAAACAAATAGGAGTGTAGAAGCAGTTGAAAATTATATGTTGAAGTTATATATATATATATATGTCTTATATAAGACTTTCAATTCTTTGGTAAGTCTATTCATTTGACTCATTGATGCAATTTAAATTCAAATTTTTTAAAGTAGTATACCTATGCTATACTTTAAACCAATAAGATATGTTATAATCAGTCACTTCTATCAATATAACTGGTTAGTTTATATTATTTTCCATTTTATATTATAAAAGTAGATATATCACTGGATATAAACCATGTAAGCCCCTGTTGGCATCTAGAATAGCATACTCGAAATTTTACTTATCGCTAATTTAGATAGATAGATTGTATATGTAACAGGACTCAACAACACAAAAAATAATCTGTTGTTGGTTCTTAATTTCTTAAATAGTCTTCTGTTAAAGTAGCACGTAGGCCAGGAAAGGTAGCTATGCCGTCACTAAAATTAAGTATATTTGCATCCAACAGCTACTTATTGATTTAGGGTGCTGTAAGATTTAATTGTGGAGTTACTTCTTTTAAACAAACCAAGTCGATCTTCTATAAGACGACTTACTTACAGAAGCAATAACTTTCATTTGTTTATCTAACCTAATATATAATATATACCAAAAAAACTGAACTGAACCGAACTTTTTAGCTATTTAGTACTGCTTATGGGACTATAGAGCTTAAGATTTATACAGTCTTTCGACTTTAGGTACCTTAATCAAGTAATTAGAATGAATTAAGGGTATCTAAGGGTATAAAAGTGACCTACTTTGGTCTCTCACTGCTTCAATTAATGAACGTCTAGAACGCAGTTGACTTCTTAATCTAATTCTAAATGTCTTAAAACTATTTCTCTAAAATATTTTTTTAAAAAGTATTTTTATTGATACTTAAAAAAAATAATTGTGTTTAGTAACTTTAAACGGCTAGACACTTCAAGTGTTATTAACTATGGAAATAAACTAAAGGTAGATAATCAGTAAAACTGAATAATTCAGGATTTTCTGTATTTTATTAAAATATTAATTTATGATTGGATTTTGGTTTTTTATTTACTTCTTTGTTTCTTTGTTTCTTTGTGATATAAACTTTAAGTATTATCAGCTCTGAATTTCTATTAGTGATAAGGGGGCCTTGAATACTGTTGCAAACGGAATCTATCTTATAAATGCAGTTGCCAAGGTCAATATCATGACTAAGGAAAAAAATAACAATATACCGAATTTCTAATTAAATTTATTATTAAATAATTTTTAAACTTTTTAGTTACTAAGTGCGGATCATACGATTTGCAAATTATTGAATCGATATAGATAATGTATGTGAATAATACAATATTTGTTTGAAAAATATTATTTAATATTGGAAAAAACAAACTCTATCGTGCAATGAACTATAACGAAAGTTATTAAATAGAAAAAAATTATGGAAAAACATTAGAATTTATAGTAATTTTTATATTTGTATTAGCATTAGTTGATGAAATAAATATTTAGCAGTATAAATATAACATTTTTATCTATTTGAAGTTAATGGCAGCTTTTGGCAAAATAATGTATACGTGCAATTTTTAATGTAGTTCCATGATGAAATTTTAAATTTACAGATTAAATTTCTTATTATATTTCTATATTAGATTTTTAAGTTAACTTCATACAGATTAGAGTGTAGAGGGCAGGAGGCAAACTTTTAACTTTAAATATGTGACAATAAATAAAATTTTTATTTATTATACTTATATTTAATGCGTTTAAAAAATATTTCATATAAATTTTTTTTTAAGTCAAATTTTACAAATTTTAAATATATAATTCAAAAAATTAATAAAATTTAAATAAAATAAATTTATAAAAAAATTTTTTTATTTAAATATTTGGCAGGACCCGAGTTCGATTCCTGGTACTTGCAGTCTCAAAAATAATTATTTACGAATAATTAAATATAAGAATTATTTCCAAGACCACTGATGAAGGGTATTTGGCAATACTCGAAACAGCTGTATGGTCAGGCCAAAAATTCAATTAATTAAAATAATTTAAAAAATAAATTTTTGTTGTTGTTTCACTTCTGTTCGAAAACCTCTTTATAAAAAAATTATATAAATATATATATATATATATTATCTATACCCATTATATATATATATTTAGGACGATGTTGAAATTTTCGTATATATAAATATTAAAAGTAATCGAAAAAGTAATCGAATACTGAACTTTTTAGAAGATATCGAAACAGTGTAAAGACTACTGTGAGGTGGATGAATTTGCAGAAAAGATTCTGATATCTTATTTGATATATCGATTTGATTTGATATCATTCAATTAATCAATTAAATTTAATTAAAAGTTACTTTGAGTTCAGTGAACCATCGACAAGTGGATTAATAATACATTAAGACTGAAAAGTTTTCGGAAATTCTCATTTAAAATTCGCGCGCTGTATATTTTTCGATATTTTAAGTTTATGTAGTTTGGCAGCACTGTCCTTAATTACTATGCCAAAAATGAGCTCGATCTGTCAGACAGTTCGTTTACGGCAGCTGTTGAAACCAGTTCACCTCAGTAGTGCGTTGCGAAATGTCTTCGACGGTCGTACGACCGTCCTGGAAGGCTTTGTACCACTCATAAACTTGAGTTTTCGATAAAACTGATTCCCCATAAGCCTTTTGTAGCATTCGCAACGATTCTGCACACGAAATTTCGTTCGAAACACAAAATTTGATGCAAACTCTTTGTTCAATATTTTTTTCCATTGTTTTTTTCGCAACGCCCTACTGAGGTGAACTGGTTTCAACAGCTGCCGTAAACGAACTGTCTGACAGATCGCGCTCATTTTTGGCATAGTAATTAAGGACAGTGCTGCCAAACTACATAAACTTAAAATATCGAAAAATATACAGCGCGCGAATTTTAAATGAGAATTTCCGAAAACTTTTCGGTCTTAATGTATTATTTATATGATTAATAGGTCAGTATCATTATCATCATAATTGTATTTGATCATCATAACATGGATTATTCACATTGGATCTTTGTCTGGATGGAGATTTGCTTCGACTTATGCTTATTTTTTCTCATCCAATTTGTTAGAAGTATTTTTGCTAGTCCATTTTAGTTATAGTTTTCCTGTGTTTTCATTTAATTAACTTGTCGCAAGGAATATATTTCGTTGTAGGTGTAGTCAACTGTATGCATGCTGTATATTTAATATGGACTCAAGTAATGGTTTATACTTGATCAAGTTTACAATTGTTTTTACATTTTTTATACAACGAAACATAAAATCTTTATCTATCTGATTAGTAGACCTGAAAGTATTTTCAAATATCATGCCTTAGAGGTATAGATAACAGATATATGCTGCAATTGATAAGACCTTTAAAGAGAAGAGCGGAAAATTCTTCGAAAGATCTATGGTCCAGTTCCCTTTGGCAAGGATTGTTGAATTAATAAGTCTGTATGTCCTATATAGTAATATGACAAACATATTTAAATTCAGCAGATTCGTTGGCTTGGTCAGTTCGCATTTTCGGTAGATGAACCGAGTAGTAAGTAATTTGAAATAACTAAGCACTTTCAATTGATGAAGTCAAGCCGCCAATGACGAAGATTATTGGGCTTTTGAATGCAAGCAATGCCATACGATATATTACGTATAAAGTCATAACACTGAAGGAAAATATTTGAAGATATATAGTATGTTTTGGTCCCTTATTAATAAAATTCCTTATTACCTATGACTAGATGTTCCATTTTAAAAGTTCATTGAAACAATATGTCAGCTATTCTTGTTTGTATGTAGCTAGTTGAAACGTTGGGTAATAAACCAAAATCGTATATTTAATAAAATCGCAAATTTTATGATATTATATTAACATATACACTTAATTGCCCTTAACCCTAAATAACACTTAATTGGTCTTATATAGGGTTTTAAAATAAAAACTGACAAGCCAGAGCAAAATAAAATTACTATTTGGGCACTAAATTTAAACATTTTTTAATTTTTAAAATTTATCTATCAAATAATTCTGATTAAGATCGGTCATGAGCATTAATCGAGTCTAGGTAAGGTCAAGTCTATTCTATTGTTATTTTTAATAGAAATTCAATTAAATGAGAATGTTGATTTATCATTATATAAATAGCAAGTCCAATTCAATCAAATATATATAATGGGCTCACAATATAGGAAATATAGATACATTTGTAAGCGATTCAAATAATAGAACAGTCATGAGCTGCAGTAGATATTTAGGCTTATGGATGTGCAGAGTAAACCGATATTAAAACATAAATATACTTTCTATTATAATTTATTTATATTATTGAAATAAATTATATATATATAAATATATATATATACATATGTATATAAATTAATTATTTTATAATAATTTAATTATTTATTTTTTAATTTAATTTTAGGTTCCTTACAAACAAATACTGTAGCTGCACATCATGATTTTGATGGCGAAGCTTTTAATGGTACATTGGCAACTCTAGATAAAGCAAGATACCATGCTTCAATACGTCTAAGTGCTAAAGAGACAAAATTTGGTGATGGTCATATATGCAGTGGAGCTTTAGTAGCGCCTTCCGTGGTACTCACAGTGGCCAGTTGTATTTACGAGTAAGTTAAATTAAAAGTTAGCCGTAAATTCATTTATTTTACAAGCTTGAATACTATTACTAATAAATACTTAGTGATTTATTAATAATTTACAACTTTTATTTATGATTTCAGTTACAACAGTAATATGTCTCGACATCCCTCAGAGCTAAAAGTGATAATGGGCACTCTAAATCGTTATCAGCGTACTAAATTTACACTAGTCTACGGCGTGACACACGTTTATCAACAAAAAACTTTTAATCCACACACGTTACGTGATAATATTGCGATAATATTACTGGAACGTGATATACCTGAGGATCATCCAATTGTGCAACCGATTCATATAAACTTATTGAAAACAAATACTCGTACAAATGTGCATGCCAATGTGAAAATGCAGTATGGCTACGAAGTGACGAGTTGGTGTGCTAAGGAGGTAAATATAAGCAATTTTTTTTAATAAATATTATAATATATTATACATACAATGTATTATATTATATATGTACATTTGCAATTTAATTTAGAAAATTTCGAATTTTTTGCAGAGTTTGCCAATTGCGCAGTTAATAGCATTCAATGCCAGTGAACTTAGCAACCAAGCTTGTTCCATTAACGATAAGGCGTTATCAACACAAGGTACATATTGTTTGGAACTTACACATATGGAGCAAGTCACTTGCCGAGAAAATATCGGTGCACCTTTACATGCAGACAATAAACTTATTGGTCTGGTATCACACGCAAGTACAACAAAGCATACAGCGATTATCTACACAGATGTATCGCATCATGCCAAATGGATCCTGAGCACCGTTGGTAAAGGCAATAACCAGAACAGTTCCATTTGGGGTGTTATAGGCTTTTTAGTATTCACGATTTTCACAGTAAAAAGCAGAAAGAAGTAAAGAAACTCCTGCTTTTTTGGAGTTCTTAATGATTGATATTATTTAGCATATAAGAAATCTTAGCTTACAAAATGGGGGTTTTCATTGAGACAAAGCGTTAGATGGCGTTAATAAAGAGAAGTTCCCTTATAACATATATAAAAGCATATTGTGATATTATTTGTAATAAAAAAAATGACTTTAGATGTAAAACTGTAAAAATATGAAACATGTTTTTCATGATTCTAGATTTAAGCTTTTAGTGATATTAAAGATATAACTCATGATATCTGATTTAAAATAGTAAATATTTTAAGAAAAGCTAGTTGTTAATATTATAAGTTTGTTAATAATATTTGTAAATATATTAATAATGAATAAGATTTTATATAATTGCACTGAAATATATTATTGTAAATAATAATACAGCATTTCTATATATCATATAATTTTTGTTTCGATAATATATACATCTGTCAATAATTATTGTGTATTTTGACACATAAAAGAAATTGACGTATTTTATTAACAATTAATCGTTTCTATTATTGAAAGATATAAGTAAAAATGTTTATTAAACTTCAGTCATATATGAGAAAATTTATAAATCTTAAATTTTCCTCAAAAAAAAAAAAATTATACGAAATTTTTTTTATAAATAATTCTTGGCTATCTCATATAAGAGATAATTGGTCGGAGTAGCAGAATAAATCGAAAATTGTTTTCTATCAAAAAAATTTTTTTTATTTTATTGTGAGAAAGTGTTTTATTAATGACGTAGTGGGCAATTAATTAAAAAAAAACACTCCAATGCATTAGAAAAATTGCTTTTAAAAAGAAATTAAAGTTTAAAGAAAAAGAACTGACATCTACGAGTACTTAACGCATATTGACGATATACTGGGTGACACAATTAAATTATAACTTTAGAAAAAAATGCAAGAGCATTCTTTCTTTATTTAGAATTAATATTAAAAATTTATATTTCAATTGATAAAAATTTTTGAAAATTTAATCTGAAATATAGTCGTATACATACTACTAGTACTTTAAAAAGTTGGAGCGTTACGATATTCATGTTGGACCATTCGATCAAATGTTGGAAGAGAAGAATAATATATAATTAATACACTTGAAACTTTGAACAATTCGAATAATATTCGTAGCTTTATATATTTCTCATAGAATAGTATAAAGTTAAAAATTTCTAAAATAAAATTTAAGAAGTTATATGCTAGATGTTTTGTGGAATGGGTTATAGCGAATGTTAGGTCTGGTTTTAGATGGTTTTAGAGATCTGGTCATATTGCTTGTGGTTATCTGGCTTTAATCTACGTCTAGAGAAGCATATTAGACCGGGAGCTCCTCTAAACTCTTAACAGTTAATATTTTGAACTTTATTTGACGGCTGTGGCTCCGCAGGTTACTTTGCATTGCTAAATGTAATGAAATGTCTCTTGCAACTTTATAACTTACGCGGTTATTTCTATCATCCACATTTTTTCTCGAATGCTCCTAAAATCTTCTTATCACTGTTAGGAATTGTCCAAGCTTCTGCATCATACAGCAGGACAGGCATAATAAGAGATTTGTAGAGCGTTATTTTTGTTTGTCGATAGAGCGCTTTATTTCTTAATGGTCTACTTAGTCCGAAGTAATATCTGTTGGCAAGAGTGATTCTTCTAGGCTGAATCTCTAGGCTGACGTCATTTTTGGTATTTAAGCTGGTTCACAAATATACAAAGTCTTTCACAACTTTGAATTTATAATTGTCAATAGTGATGTGGATCCCAAGACGCTCAGGTAATTTGTTTGTTGACAGAAAGTACTTTGTCTTCATTTAACACAAAAACCCATTTGGTTCGCTTGTTTTTCGAAGTTGGAAAATGTCGCAATAGTGATGTGGATCCCAAGATGCTCAGGTAATTTGTTAGTTGACAGAAAGTACTTTGTCTTCATTTACCACAAAAACCCATTTGGTTCGCTTGTTTTTCGAAGTTGGAAAATGTCGCACTGACGACGCGGGTGTTCAGGCCAATGATATCAATAGCATTTAGTTATTTTCAGTCAGATGAATAATGAATAATAAATGTCTTCATTATACTTTAATTATTCACATCAGTTATAATAAGTTTCGCCTATATTTTTGTATATACATTATATGACTAGAAATTTTTTCAAAAATATTTGAAATATGTTGAAAGGAATAAATTAAGGATAATAAACATATGGCATTCAAATGAAAAATTCTAAGTAATGTTAATAATTTTGACCATGAACTTGTAAGCTGTCAGAATCCAAAAGTCATACATCAAATATCCCACCTTTGAGTTAATTAACAAGGTGCAGATTTTACTGTTTATACTAGCAATTAGTCACGATAAACTTTTTAAATATTAATAAAATTATGGTATTTTGGTAGAGCAGTAAAAATGTGTGTAAGTTGATTTCACGAATTTTACTGAATTCTAGCTTATGGTAAAAAAATTAGATTTACATTAATTAAATTTGCAAAAAGCCAGAGTGTGATTAAACTACTGACACGTTTCGGCCAAGAACAGTAATTGGCCTAAAATGGTTTCATATACACAACTGAGTAATTTATTTACATGTACACTAGACATGCAATATGAAACACAAATGATAAGAGTTTTTTGTGTGTAGCTATTTTGCCTATCTGCAATCTATCTACGTATCTATGTATCTGCGCACAGACACGATGTGCGGTTAAAGATGCCTTAAACAGCAGGTAATAACAAAAGAACAATTATCAACTTCAACATGAAGTTGCCGTGTGTGAGAAGCGTGCTGGCATACATATAGTCCATGGAACTATCAAAAGGGTAATGAGTGTGTTATGATATACGATGGGTGGTTAGTTGTGGGTGTGTTACATGCCATATTTTAGAGACCTAAGAAAATGACTGTATATATCAAGTATATATACTAATGTATATACTAATGTGTGCCACACTTATTTTTCTGGTTTTTTGGTTTTCGGTTTTTCTTGATTATTGTTTTGCGTGAATGATTTTCATTTGAATTCGTCAGGCGGCGCTACATTTTGTATCTTTCATTTACTCTGTGGATAGTGTAAGGCAGATGAATTCATGTATAAGTATTTATAATGAATGCTCTTTGTTGAAATACATTCATAGTAGCTTGAATGAAAAGTCTTTTTAACCAACAGTTTGGTTTTGTTTTCATTAATTTTTTTTTAAATATTTCATAAATTTCTTTTTCATAGGCAAAATAAGACATTTAACATTTTCTCAATGGGCAATTAAAAGCATATAAAAATTTTGATTTAAGTCTCCAACAACCCTGCTGAGTGTCTAAATTTGTTACCATAGACGAGACTGAAGGAAAAAAAACAATTCTTTTGAAATATTGAACTATAAAAATTATGATTTTAGTAAATAATTTTTATGTTTTATATTTAATGTTCCCTGCTTACGAGTTTTACTGATTGATTTTATAGACACAAAATTGTGGTTTTATTATATTTAAAGTTTTGATATATTAAATATACGATATATTTATATATATGTAAAACATTTTTTAATTCTTTTCGAGGGTTGTGTAAATTTAAAATATTTATGCTAAATTTATTATATATAAACTTCTAAAATTTCTTAAACCAATTAATTATAAATATGTTAATACTATGTATGAAAACTTATATATATTTATACATTATACATCTATATATATGAAAATAAATTAAAAAAATCTGGTAATGATTATATTAATCGCTAAAAATATCATTGAAATTTTACTGTAGAATACATTTAATCTTTTATTATATTTAATGAATTCATTTATTATTAATTTATGCCAATTTAAAAAAAAAAAAGAAAAAAAAGAAAAATAGAACTAGAAAGTATGCTATACTGAATGTAGTCCATTTAATTTTTATATAGATATAGAAAATTAAGTTTGATTTATCTATCTATACAGAATAAATATAAATATTTGCTACAAATATAAATATTTGTTGTGTTGCTTTCAATATAACAAGTTATTGACAAATAATGATAAACTACTTAGGAGAGCGAAATATTCCAAAGGACCACTCAATAGCCTGCTAGGATTTATTATCCAATATTCTCGATTGCTACACTATATATGACAAATGTATATCCTGAAACTAGTATGTTTGTATTGTACAAACACTGAAGTTTAGGTGTAGAATGTCTTGCTAACACTAAAAAAAACACTAAGTTCCAAGGAAATTATAACTTTAACGCGGGCTTTCTCAAATATGACCTAGAAATAGTAGCAACTATATCATAAACAGAAACAGAAGAATTACCAAGCCAGTGAAATAAGGGCATTTCAATAAAATCATCACGATAAGGTAATGCATTAACACATATAATAAATTTTATACTATCTAATCTTTTTTATTGTTCCAGAAAACTTACGAATTGAAAACTAATTAAGGTTTGGATCAAAAGGCATTTTATAGTCTTTATTGTTTATCTTTGTACTAGTTGATATAATGAAAACAAGATCAGGTGGATTACATGGTATCTAGTTTATTTGGTTGGTAAATTCGGATTACGCCGACGATATATGTCTACTATCTCGTAGTTGCTCCATCCTCCAAAGTAGTCTGATTTCGTTATATGTAAATTTCTAACAAGCCAGTCGAGAAATTAGTACCAAAAACGGAAGATCATGAATAGCAGACATAGCAGACAATAACATACCTAAGAAGTACCATATTTTAATAATTGAAAGCGAAACAGAAAAGGAAGTTACAACCAGAATTAGTAAGATTGGATATAATTTTATTTGAATTAAAAAGAGATGAAACTACAGCCATATACTATATTTAACTCTACAAAACTTAGTTTATTTAATACCAATATAAAATTTCTACTTTATAAAAGTTTTATGGAGTATCACTAGAAAACAGTCAAAAATTGATTCCTTTATAAACCAATATTTGCGAAGAATCCTGCGCATCTGTTGGCTTTAGAGATTATTCAATACCGATGAGTCAGCTCGAACAAGCCAAATCTTAACAATAAAAGAAATTCGGAAACAACGTAAATGGGCTTGTTAGGACACTCTCTCAAAAAAACCAATTAGCCAAATATTGTTCGTCAGGTACTGATAATGAACCCACCTGGTGTGTCAGCCATATCTTGAAAGAGAACAGTGGTACGCGAATTAGAAAACGCAAACTTTTATTACATATATACAATCAATATAAAAAATATTTAAGATATTTAAGATTATTATACTACATGGAATCACTATAATTACTAAAAAGCAACTTGAACATTACGACCAGTTATCACAATACCATCTAAATGGTGAGGTTTTAAGTTATCAAATATTTAGCATTGGTAAAGCATATGCTTTGGAGATTTTACATTATGGTCGTTTTTCAATATATTTAGGTAGGAAATTTACAGTGTCTTGTAGAGGAACCATACAACACTTATAAGTTTACCTTGCTTACTTTTACTAAAGTATTTTATTTGATAAATCCTCTACTTCGATAAGAAATTAGTTTGCCTGGCGTTGTCTTATACTATTAAAAACCATTAGTCTACATATTTTTTTTACTCCTAATTCCTGATAACTTCATTCAATTGGCTTTTAAGTCCGTTAAAAGACACAGCAACAATTAAGGCATATTTGCCTCATTTTTGCCTAAATAATCTGCTATTTCATTATCCTCACGTGTGTTATGTCTTGTGTACCATCAAAAAAACACAGTTTTAAGTTTTTTAATTTATTGAGAAGGTTGAGGCAATCACCTTCTGCGACCAACCTTAATAATATAGTTTTAAAAGTTGATTAATTTAACATAATTTATATTATAAACATTTGTGTTATGCCTGCGGTGTAATCACTTTGAATAGCATTATATTTAACAACTGTTGATAATCTTTTGGTCTAGACTAGTGTAAATGTAATATATATATCTTCATTCACGATAATGTAATTCATAGAGTAAGTGGTTTGTGGGTGCCAAAATTTTATGAAGACATAACTTCAAAAATATTTAATTCTGAAAAACTATTTTACTCTAAAAAAAGTTTATGTAATTAAAATGAGCAAAAATTCATCTAATATATTTTCTCAAGAATACCAAAACCCTTTAAACCACAGACATAAAGTCAAAGTCTAAGAAAAATCGACAGATTTGTAAGTAAGAAATTTCAACAAATTATGTGCCAAGTAAAACAAATTTAAATGTCACCAGCGGCTGGAATTTTATGAAAAAAATTCATCAAGAACATTTGAAATCTCTATAAAATTAATGGGCCAAAATCTGAAAAAGGCCAGACAGTAACACGACATAACAAAGACAATAGCGAGTACAAGACAGCAAACAGGAAAGGATACGAATGCGTATACACCACCAAATGTGTCCAATGGCTGGCATCTCGTGAATTTATTTACTAAACGTGCACAAAATATAAATAAATAAAAGTGATGAAAAAAAAATATTTATAAAAAACAAAAAAAACAAAACTTAAAACTAAAACAAAAACGCCACCCACGCCTTTTTATGATTTGCAAAGCAAAATTTTCGTTGTTAAAATATCCGGCGGATGCGTTTGTACCCAACACATATGCCCTTAGAAGAAGAAGTACACAAAGGCGTAGTTCAGTCTAATGAAATGCATTATTATTGTATAGTAGTTAATACGATGCGAAATAGTATGGGTCCCTCTTAAAAGCACTCTGTAAGCCCTTCCAAATATATGTATCTTCTGGAGAAACGCACTTAAATCGCACACACATGCAAATGCGACGTCTTAGGTGGGTGGTTCTATAATATTTTTATTTATGACTCTTCGACTTTTTTCGTGTGTAGTTCTCTTTTTGCTTAGTTTAGTTTTGCTTTAAAATAGAAATTTTTTTTATTAAAATTTTTTATTTGGACTTTTGCCACCATTTGACATTTAGTGTATTTTATGACAGACTTCATGTTTTCATCCCGTAGTGATGAGGGGTCTCAAATCGGATGGATAAGCTTATATTGCTTGCATGAAAGATTTATGCAAATTATTGCTTTTATCTTTGGTTTCTTATATACACGTAAAAATAATTTTTTCTAATTAAATACTTTATGTTTATAATTTATTGTAATAAGCAAATCAAAATCAAATAATGAACGTTAGGGTTCATAAATGATATATGATAATTAAATCAATATTATCTATAAACATCTATATTAAGATGTTCATAATAAGGTTATGTATAAATCATTACGGAAAGGTTACTAAGATTTAATAGTGACAGTTTTTAAAATATTAAAGTACTACAATTAAAACTTAAAGGAAGGAATGACATGTGAACAGTTTCTTAACCAGAATCGTTACTAGATATCTTATAATATTACAAGAATATTTTTCCTCCTTTTTAAAACCAAAAGTCAACAAAAGCAGATTACGCTTAGTAAATGAGTACCTTGATTAAGGGTAGGTTGATACCATATATGCCAAATATAATATCAGAAATTGGGAAATATATTAGATCTTACTATAATTATCTATTTAATAATAGTTACTAATAGTTCCTTTCACCGTATAGTAATCGCCTCGTGTCTTACATTTGTGTAGAAATGAAATATGGATGTTTAATAGGCTAAATGAATACTAACTGCAATTGTTTGAGCAAATGGTGCAAAGAATATTTGCAGCTCTACAAGATTATGAAATTTGGGGTAAATGGAACAATCGTGGATTAAATAGTCTGTAGGAACACTATAAACCGTTGACAATCATAAAAGCAACACAACTTTGATGGGCAGGCGTCATATAAAAGCTAATGAAAATAATCCTAAATATGCATTAAATTGGTAGTGTGTGTAGAAAGTTTAATGACAATAAAAAAATATGTGTACTGATATTAGGTGTGTGTAGAGTATGTAGAAAGTCTACTGCCAATAAAAAACTATGTAACCCGTTATTGGCAGACCAAGTATAAGGAAACGATGAAGATAATTTCCCAAAATATGCTCTTATGAGGCAGCGTACAGAATGGATGCACGAGGTTGATACCAAAATATGATAAATCTAGTTTCAAAATATTGGCAAACACGACAGTAGAGTGTCGAGATATTGGATATATTGTACAAAATAGGCAAAAACCAAAGTAGGCAAGTACTTTTATAGGGTTGTTTCGCCTATGTAAATTAAAAAAATAATTTTTTTTTTAAATATTCCACAAAAAGTTGGTACGAGTAAGTAGCTCTTTTACTAACTAACAAAAACTAACTTTTTTTAACAAATGAATGTTAAATAATGTGAAGTACGGTTTTAGTAAATATTATTTTATTTTAATAAGAAATATTAATATAAAATAAAAATAACATTAAATGAAATTATTATTTTTTAATCTGTTCCAACAACTTATTGTTTAGAAAATCTAGCAGCAAACGCCTCTCAACTTGCATTGTCAACATTTTAAACTAGCAACATTAGATTTCAGGAAAAATTCACCATACCATATTAATGTTATTAACAGTTTACTTAACATTTAGTAACTGCATGAAATTTAACATGAATTGAAAATACACACCACTTAAAGCTAACAGTGGACTATGAATATGTAGAATTTTTGGTACTTGCATTCATTCGTACTTCTAACACGAATAATAACACACTGCGACGCGGAAAAACTGTTAAAACTGTTTTATAGCTAAGAAAATGCTAAGAAAAACTGTAAAAGCTTTTGAGTACGAAATGTAGAGCAAATGAAAATGAGCGAAGTTGAGAGAGAAATGTAAGTGGAAGGAGTGCGTGAATCACTTAAGTAACCGGCCACAGCGGCAACGACAACAGCAGCAGCAACGACAACGGCAAGCACATTTTCAAAGTAAACAAAGTGTCTCCGACATTATTGTGCAATTTTGTGTCGTGGAGTGCGGACGTGAAAATGCTTTCGAAAATAAATACATATAATTATTTTTGTTGGATTTTTGTGTCTTGAGTGAGGACTTTTATTATATATTTTCTTTTTCTGTAACGTTTTGAATTAAATTAATTTATGCGAAGTGCATATGCATTTATGATTATGTTGCGCAGCACTTAAGTGCGAGTTAATGTTGTTTTGACGGATTTCAAAGTAAACAAATAATATAAAATAACCAAAATTGCAATTTGACATAAAAAATAAAATAGCAAAAATATAACACAAAATTGTTTATTTTTTTACTGTGTAAGCATTTTGCAATTGTACATCTTGTGTCTAAGCAAAAGAAGAAGAAGAAGAAATAGACAAATAACAGTGTGCGCCTGACGTTTGCAGCGAATGTTTTTGTTTTTTCGGTTTCACTTTCGGTTTCGGTACATTGTTGCTGGATACGCAATTTTCCTTTAAACATTTTGTTGCTGTTTTTGTTTGGTTTTTTTTGTTTTTGTTTTTTTTTTAAATTGTGGCGAACGTGCGCCTAAACTTTTTTAAATGTGCGTGAATGCGTGATTTTAGATTTTTTGTCGGTGAGAGAAACGACAATTGTGCGATTTCAGCGACGATCCGACTGACTGTCTGTCATTTCTGTCGTTGGGTTTTTAAAAATAGTCTGCAAACTTTTCTTTCTGGCTACGTTTTTGTATACTGAAAAAAAAAAGAAAATTTTTAAAACAAATTTAAAGATATATTAAGAAAAGATACAATTTTACAATTCTTTGTGTGAAAAAGATAAAAATGTGTATACAAAATATTATAGGTTTCTAACAAAAATAATCAAAGAATAGTGTGTACCAATTTAATTTTTGCCTGAATAAATTATTATTTAAACATATTTTTTTTTTGAAAAAGTATATAATGTGCATAATCACTTATGTGCAGTGTTTCTAAAATTACATAAAAAAAGTTTATAAAATAATTGTTATCATTAATTTGCCAAAATGAAGCTGTGGAAGTCTAAAAAACCTATCAGTTGCGTACCTGGTAAATCTGCTGCCATTAAAAGTGAAGATAAACTTGACGCTAATGCCATACCATTAACACCAATGCTATCCGGTAAGTGATTATCAGTTTGAAATTATTACACATAACCTAAAAACTTATAATTGTCAACTAAAAGATTCAAAAAATTTTTGTTATTTTTTCATTGTTTCTCATCATATGGTTCAGCTCAGGGTTGTTGTGTCTTTCGGCTTTTCCCTTGAAACAAGTTGCACACTTTCCGTCGTTCCTTCGCAGCATGTTGCCCATTTGACATGTTCAATTAAAAATAATGGTTTGTGTTTATTTCGATTTAATGAATATTTTTGCACTTTTTTAATGTTCGTTGAGTTGTTAATTTCTGAAATTTCCCTTGTAAACGAAAGACATTTTATATCTTTTCGAAAAAAGCGCGTTTATTTTAATTTTTATTTACAATTTTTCGTTGAAAATGTTTTCTGCATTTCTTTGAATGTTTTTCTCAATATGTTTTCTTTTTTAAATTAAAATAAATTTTTTTTAAGTGTAAATTCTTTGACATTTATGGATTTCGTTTTAAATTGTTTTTATAACAATATCGGCGCCTTACTGTCAATGTGGATGAGTAATTAATTAAGAGTAAATACTGAAAATAATCATGGACTATATGCTAAGCTCAAAATTATAATATAAATTTAAAAAAATTAATTTACCCAGGCTTAACGATGGTTATTTAACAATCAAATTGGTACTAAATTTTTGTTAAAATTTCGAATATATTTTAAATAAATATATTTATTGTAAGATAAAGAGGTTTTTCGAACGGTAGTAAAACCACAACAACAAAAAATTATTTTATATTATTTTAATTAATTTAATTTTTTATACAAATATTTTGGATTCGTAGACCCATCTAAAGTCCGGTTTAATTAAATTTCATTACACTATACGTCGTAATAATAATTAATTATTAACATAAAACATATAAATTTATTGAAAGAAAATTTTTTAATTTATGAAATAAATATTTAAGTAATATTATTGAAAGAAATTACTTAAATCCATGATTAAAGTAGAATTTTAATAAATAAAACTTTTATTATTATTGTTAAAAATGTATCCTAAATTATAAGTCAATTATTTGAAGGAAAGCTCAGGATTAGTTGGTTGTAGTGACAAAACAACAGATTACTTTTCGCTGACCTTAATTAGCAATTTTTCGCCATTTTGCTACCACATTCCTTGCAGGAAACTTCAAGATATAAAAAGACATGACCTAAATCCATTCCATTGAATTTAGATAATTTTATAGATCTTGAATAATGATCTTGTTAAAGTATCAATAAAGTATTTCACTAAAAATCTACTTCTATGGGAGGTCATAACCGGACATTTATAGAATAATGGGTACTTGTTTCTTTTTCCTATACGTTTCCATAACTTCAGCAATGGGTTTTAAAAACAGTGTGCAGTTTTTCTGAGTGGGTTCCTATTAACCAGTAACCAGATTGAAGTTAAGGATCTTAATAATATTAATAAAAAAATTATATTAATCATATTATTAATCATATTATATTATAAATCATATTAATAAAAAAAATTTTTTTAGTAATAAACGATATGGTTAAGGACTAGCTAAACACGTTCCGAAAGAAAATTCTAGGTTTTAGTTTTAGTTGCTACTGAAAAATTGTAAATAAATTAAAGAATTTTATCTATGATATTATTGATTACCACATTTTTTTAATTAAGTTAATTGTTTATGTCTATTATATTTATTAACGTAAATCACTTAATTTTATGTATTGTAAAAAGTCTGAACTGACTTTTATATAGATAAATATTTAGAAAAATCTTAAATAAACCCTAAAAATATACCGAGCGAACTGTTAATCGAAAATTCATGACTGAAATTACTCAAAACATACGAGTTAGATACAGTTGATATGACTTAAAGAACATGAACATTCGAAACTATTATATATTTTTAGCAAAAGTGAAACACGGTCCGATGTATTTTTAACATGTTCTTTACTTCGCTTTATTAACTATACTAAAAATGAATAATGAATAATAATTACAAAAGGAATATAGAATAATGACAGGCCAGAGTTGCCAGGCAATTAATATTTAAAAAGTACTTTACATAACAACACCCCCTCTTAAAGTGCTTTTATTATGTATAAAATATGACTTTAATATTTCATTCCTAATTTCCGTAAGCAATTAACATGCTTTTCTGTAGTGAGTCCTTTGGTAAGGACGTCTGCGGGCATTTCTTCTGTTGGCATATATTTGATTTTAACAGTGCCGTCGTTAACCTTGCTGCGAATAAAGTGATAACGAATATCAATGTGCTTTGTCCGTGGATGATACCTGAAGCTTTCCGTTAATTTTTGAGCGCTTTGATTATCATTAAAGATTTCAATTGTCTTACTTGTAATGCCAACATCATCAAGGATTGCCTTTAGATATAACGCTTCTTTTGTGGCCTCAGATATGGCCATATATTCTGATTCAGTGCTTGAAAGCGCTACTATACGTTGCTTTCGAGCTTCCCAACATATCGCTGCTCCTGATATAATGAACGCATACCCTGAATATGAACGTCTATCGTTTAAGTCAGCGCCCCAATCAGCGTCAACCAGACCATACAATTCTTCATTGTTTTTCTCATACAATAGACCATAGTTGCTTGTACCTTTAAGGTATCTTAGAATTCGTTTTGCTGCTTTCCAATGTTCCACGTTATAATTTGAATTGAACTGGCTAAGAAAGTTTACAGCAAACGCAATATCAGGTCGAGTTGTAACAGCTAAGTACATTAATGCTCCTATCAAGCTTTGATAGGGATACATCTTCATAACACCTTCATCAATTTTTGTTGGTTTCGTTAACTTAATGTTCAATTCTATGGGAGTCTTCACTGGTTTACAGTCTTTCATATTGAACTTTTCAATGATGCTTTTTGCATACTTCTCTTGTGAAAGAAAAACTTGATGCTTGCTTAAATTTTGATGAAACTCGATGCCAAGACAATTACTTACTATTCCCAAATCCTTCATTTCGAAATCATTCGCAAGTGCAGCCTTTATTTCTTTTATACGAAACTTATTATTGGACGCTATTAGTAAATCATCGACATATATTGTCATCAAAACAATGTCGTTGCCTTCTCGCTTAGTGAATACACAAGGATCCTGTTGTACTGCACTTAGACCCATATTCTGTAGTTTCTTTGTCAATTTCATGTACCATGATAGCCCAGACTGACGGAGTCCATAAAGAGCTTTCTTTAATAAACATACAGGTGACTTACTTGACTTAATCGCCTTTAACCAATGCTGCGCTGTTTCTTTAACTTTTCCACACAATATTGTTGAAGTTTTTCCCACTGGTTTTAATGAAACAACTTTGTTCAGGAATGGTATAAGATAATCGGGAATTTCCATGAAGACACTCTCTTCGAGCTCTCCATTTAGGTATGCTGTAATGACATCCATCTGATGGATCTCCAAATCCATTTTTGCTGCCAGTGCCGCAAGTAGTCTTATAGATGTTGAACGAGCGACTGGAGAAAACGTATCATGAAAGTCTTCACCTGGTCGTTGTGCAAAACCCTTCGCTACTAATCGTACTTTCTGTTTTCCGTCATCTTTAGTTCGAAGCACGAATCTATTCCCAATAACTCTTCGTGATTTCGGTCTTTCGACCACTTCCCATGTTTTATTCTTTAGTTGTGCCACCATTTCGTCTTCTAGCGCTTTTGACCAGGAATTTGTTTCATCGCTTTCAAGTGCCTCCAAAATCGTTACTGGAGTTTGATATGTAGTGAGAAACGCCATTTCACAATCTTCAAAAACGTTGTTGTCAGGTTCATCATCTGAATGGTTTTTATCACCAATTTTTCTTACTGAACTTGTATTTTCGTCTTCGTTGGATGATTCTTCACCATTCCGATTTGACGTGTAATATTCTTTTCGAGGCCTACCGCGTGAATTTGTGCGAATAAGTCTCGGACGACCTCTTCTACGAATGGAGTTTTCTTCTCGCGTATCTGTATTTTCTACAATTTTCGGATTGACCGACAGTTTCTGATTTTCACAATTTTCGAACGCAATATCGATATAATCATTTGTTTGGCAGTCATTTTCATTGTTAATATAAATGTTTTCGTATTTATTATGATAGATATTTTTGTTTACGAACACGACATCACGGCTTATTGTTATATTTCGTTTTGTAGGTGACCACAGCCGATAGGCTTTCGCTTCGTTTGAATATCCAACAAACATGTAAGGTTCTGACTTAGAATCGAATTTATCTCTAGTCTTATCCTTTTTTAGGACATATGCTTTAGAGCCAAATACTTGAAAATGTACAATAGTTGGCATTTTACCAGTCCACAACTTGTGCGGTACTACACCGTTCAATGCTTTTGTAGGACACCTATTTCGAATATAGCACGCTGTATTTATGGCCTCTGCCCAAAAATTTGGCGGAACTTCAGCTTGTTTCATCATGCAACGGGCCATTTCAACTAGAGTTCTGTTTTTACGTTCAGCAATACCATTTTGCTCCGGCGTATATGGAGCAGTTAAGCGTCTTTGTATACCAAATTTCCTCAAGAATAAATTAAATTCAGAATTAACGTATTCTCTACCATTGTCTGATTGTAAAGCCTTAATTCGTTTACCCGTAAATGTTTCTACTGCTCTTTTGTATTGCTTAAATACATTTAATACATCGGATTTTTGTTTTATAAAATATACATGACAATAGCGTGATTTGTCATCAATAAATGTTACGAAATATTTTGCATCCGAATTTGATGCTGTTCTCATTGGTCCGCACACATCACTATGCACGATCTCTAATAAATCACTTGTTCTAGTTTCTTTACTCTTAGGAAATGGTTTTTGTATTTGTTTTTCACTAATACAAATTTCGCAAGTCGGAAGTTTTTGTTTAGGATTTAATTTTAATCCGTGTACTAGGTTATTACTAGCCAATTTTTTAAGATCGTTTTCATTTATGTGGCCCATTTTCTGGTGCCACTTTTCAATGTCACATTTTTCTTCAGCAACTTGTGCAAA